CACAACGACTCTTCGAAACCCGCGCCGCACGTATAATCAGAAGTTTTCAAAATTCAAAATTTCCTGCCCAAAATAAGAAATCAGCATTTGCCACATGGCCATCAGTCGACGTCCCGCAGCCAGCGCCACATCGACTGAGGGGGGCAACCTCCCCCGCCGAACTAAAAAGTTGACAAGACTAAACTTAAGTAGAGCGGAAAACAGGGGGCAACCTTTCCCTGCCGAACTAAATTTTTTTAACAAGACTCAGTTAGAGTAGAGTGGAAGGCAGGGAGGTCAGTTGATAAATAACAAGGTGGAAGACGGGAAGCGCCGAGTGACGAAGGAAGCATAGACGCGGAACGTGAAATGCGGCAAACGAAAAGTAACGCAGGAGGCACCCTCAGACTACCTCCTACTGGGGGGGCAATTGTTAGGGGAAAAGGCCGAGAAAGGAGCCTATGTTGCATGCACCGCACTTAGTCGTTCCGCTCAACCATGGAAGGCCGCCTGATCACACGTGGATACGCGGGGCTCAACGCCACGAATTCCGCACGACAGGGACGCGTAACGTAAACCGTTGAAGGAAGGCCTGTGGGCCCGCGTATTTGCACCTGACTACCGGTCTTGTCGTCAAGATCTTCTCACCAAACCAATGAAGGCTATAAATACCGCATTTACTACATGAGGAAAGGACTTTTGGTTTCTCACTCTAATATTCTCTCTAAAACCCCTCTGTATTTCTCTCCATTTGTAAGATCATCTTGCCCTCATTTCGGGGGAGATTAATAGAAAAGAGATTGCCCTTTCCTCATCGAATTAGCGTCGAAGTTCTCGTAATCAATCGTGCAACATACGTGCCTGACGTACACCTCAACCTAAATATTAAACATGAACTCAAGGGCCAAAACAACTTACAACTAGATGAAAGAGCTGCAGTAGTTGTTCACCCAAGTTCCAAACATAGCAAATGGCACTCTTGGACTTAGATTCTGCTCTATGATGTTGTCTCCGTATATTATTTCAATGATGGTCGGTCCTATTCTGCTCTATTGTATTGTCTCAGTCTGTTGTTCGAATGATGGTCGAGCCCAGGGGCGGACATAGGGCAAGGGGAGGGGTGTCGTCCGACACCCCTCCGCCCGAAAATTTTGTGAATGACCTCCATTTTTTTGGTACAAAATTTTTTAATTTGGGACTTCTGACACCGCTCTAATAATTATAAGCGACACACTTTCATTATACAATAATAGTTTTAATGTTATAAAGTTATTCATCATAATTAGTAATTAACAATAATAAGTAAAATCAAATAAGCATGCTTGTTTCAAGTAACCCACAACACAATTTAACTTGTCAATTTGTAGTTAATAGGTGAATTGCGTATATTTATGGGAGATTGTGATTTGATTTTGGTTTTTTTTTTTTTACCAATAGATCACTTGTATTACCAAGGCAAACAGCTAGTAAAGTTTACAACTCATGAACAAACCAACGAAAAAAATCAAAAGTATCTACAACTGCAGGCAACAAAGAAAGGGTCTTCCTAGCCACCTCATGGGCCACCCGATTGTTACTCATGCCAACAAAAGCCATCTCCAAACGCAAGTACTGCAGCCGCAGTTTCCGAATTTCTTCAAGAATCCGCCCGCCTTTCACATCCCTCGCATCCATATTCTGGATTTTCTCAATGACCACCTTCGCATCCCCGCAGAATTGCACTTCGGCTAGTCCCTTCAAAGAGCACCACTGAATTGCATCCCGAAACGCCACCAATTCCACCAGAAAAGGATCCTCCAGACCTGCATAACAAAACCCCTGCACAAAACACACCCTCCCTAACCCATCATAAACCACTATACCCCCAGTTCCATGCGAACCAGCACGCACAGCTCCATCCACATAGCATCGATAAGGCATAACAATCTGAGATCGGCCCGCCACCCTACTCGCACCCCCTCCCTGCTGACCCCGACGCACTCTATCTTGCCCGGCTTCAGCGAAACTTAACCACTCACGAACCTGCTCCTCAAATTGCCTCACCAGAGTATTCACCCCATACTGCACATGATCAAACACCACCCAATTTCTACTCTTCCAAATTCTCCAAAGAGTTGCCACAAACCGCACTATCCTCTCTCTACTGGCGTCCTGCTCAAAAAATCGACGAAGGAACAGAGCAAAATTCACCGGAGGCTGACTGACAAGCTCCTCCACCAGACCCGACCTCTCCCAGAGAGCCCTTGCCATCCTGCATGAGAGAAACATATGCTCCAAAGTCTCCAACGGCGCCCAACAAACCGGACACCTGGGATCAATACCCTCATCGCCCGAATCCGGATCCACTTCCCCAGGTAGAACTAGAGAAAAAAATGCTAATGATATTACTTTAGGCATACTTTGTTTTCTCTAAAATTGTCGATTGTAGTTTACTATTTTTTATTGTAAACTAATTTATTTTAGCTTAATTTGATTTTAAACGTAGGTCGATTCTTTTTGGTTGAGTGACTAATTTATGAATGATTATAGTTGTGTATATCGGAAAAAGGTTTGATTTGTAACATAAACGATGAATGTATTTTTAAAAAAAAATCCCAGGATATGAAAAATCGTCATAATTCGTAGCAAACATGACATTGTGAACTTATAAATGAATTTCCAGTCATTTCTATTTAATTATTTTATTTATTATAATTTTTTGTCGGCGACACCCCTCTTCAATAATCCTGGGTCTGCCACTCGTCGAGCCCACCCTAACCTCTTTTGGTGAGTAGAAATAGGAGCTAGGTACCAGCTGGAACATGGAAAGTTACCACTACTGAGAATCAGAGCCATACGAGGACCAGCAGAAATGACATAACACGACCTTAAGGTCAATATGACCAGATAAGCAACATAATGAAAAAGAAACCAGCTTCATAACCTTCATGATCCAGCAAGATGAAAATTGTAAGAGACAGGCAGGCAGGCATCAGATTCAGTTACAACTTACAACCCCTAATTGGTAATATTTAATTTTACGAATTTGAGGTTGAGAGACGACTAATATTAGTGTGAAATAGTGATGAAATGATCTATATATAATTAAATGACACTCTTGGTAGTTGAGGGTCGCCTAGTAGTGAATGAAAGAGTCTAGTTCAAAGGATAAATTACGCACTAGCTTATATTTCGGTATTTATCGGTATTTCGGTATATCCCGATCCCAGTCCCGTAATCTCTAATGCCGAATAACAATTGAAATTCAATCTCAATCCCAATCCCACAAAATAATACCGATTGGGATATCGAGGTACCGATTGGGATACCGAAATATTTAGGGATTGGGATTGAGATTAATTTTATGGTGTAATTCGGTATTTGGAAATTCGGTATTTGGTATTGGGACACCGATACCGTCCCGACTTACACCCCTAATGGTATTAACACTTGGGGTTAAAGTTGCAGACTTGAGCAAGTATAATGAAAAATGGTTATCCTTTTTGGGTAATCAGCAAGGTTGTCAACCCGTGGGTTGACCCACTTTGACCCTGACCCGATGAGAAAAACGGGTCGCACGCACCCGCCGGGTCGACCGCTACAATGTACCGGGTTGGAGGTCAAATTGTGTTATTTTTTCTTTGTTTTGCGAAATGCGTCTATTTACCGATTTTTCTTTTTGCCTAACTCAATCTTTGGAATCCTAAGTTGAACATTTGAATATTAATGTTATATAAGTGTGTGTGAATTTTCACTATATGTTGAATCTAAGTACGACATGTTATTTTGGTGTAATATTATATATTACAACTCATATACTAGATGAGATTTGATATAATTTATCAGGATAAGTACAATATAATGATGTTTTCCATATTTCCGGGCTAAATCGGACTAAAACGGGTGACCCATTAACTCTTGACCCACTAGCTCAATCGGGTCCGGATCAACCCGCGGGTCGACAACCTTGGTAATCAGTAATCGAGTAACAATCCAATTCATAATTAAAAGTGAAAGAGATTTTTTTTTTTTTACGAAAAAAGTGAAAGAGAGATGGAGAGAAAGAAGACCTCAATCTCAGTACAGTCGGTCGAGAAGCCCCAACCACCCTGCGATTGCCTCACAGTCTCAGTATGTATCCTGTCGTGTACAGAGAAAGACCAAAACAGGAGAAATCACCCATGGGTTCAGACCAAAATATTGATTGTTCCAGAGAATAAACCATGGTTTCCTACTCTCAATTTCACCATAGAGTTGAATTCCAGTTGAAGAAGAGGATTGCCGAGCTGGTTTCCTGCCCGGCATTCTGCAGGAACGAGAAGAGTAGTTGTAGTTGTTGAGAGGTTGTAAATTTTGGACAGCAAGAAAGAAGACAAATGAGAATGAAGGAAAATAAGACGGGGGTAAGTGGAGAATAAAAAAGAATCGAGCTTAGTTGCGCTCGCAACTCGTCAGAAGATCAGACGTTAGCAAGAGGACCACTCTCACAGAGAGCGCAGAGTTCATCATAACTCGATTTGAAATGCACCAGCCGGGAATCGAACCCGGGTCTGTACCGTGGCAGGGTACTATTCTACCACTAGACCACTGGTGCTGTTGTTCATGTTATTTTTATTGAGACTTTATAGTACCAATTCAGTCATACATTATAAGCAAGATTGACTCATACATTATAAGCAAGATTGACACCTTGGCATTAGTAAAAGTTTAGCTGGTTGTTTGCATGTTGGATTTGAAATGTGAAGGGACTGTAATGCATTTTCTGTGGACATTGAGAATGTGATTGTTACGTTCCACAATTTAATTCATGACAAGTATCGGTTGAAGTTCTCCAAACTGGAGTCGCTTGTGCACGAGAAAAAGAAGAGAGATATGTGATGGCTGACAGGCGGATGCTCGGTAACCGGATGTCGTTTGGGATTGCTGAAGCAAGTTCGCTGGGTGATGGGCTAGGGGAAGGTTATGTAATGCTTGGTCAGGCTGGAAGTGGGAAGCTTTGAGTCGCAGCTCGGCAGAGCAGACCTGCTGCTAAGTGCTAAGGAATGGAGGGAAAGGCAGTTTGGCAACAGTGGCACTACTTCTGGTCTGATGTCGAGCCTGCCATTCGCACTAGTGCAGGGGATCGAGCTGAGCAATCCACAGGCTTACGCACATCAACCTGGCAGTGGCATAAAAGTACCTATTTCTCGTAACGATTTGTCCATTGGATTGTAACTGAACTAGTCTGCTACCAGTCTACCTATCCTACTACTGAATTTCAGCAGACACCTTTTTTGGTAGTGTAACTGATCTGTTGGTATGGGTTCTAGGCTTGCAGCTAATCTGAATTTAGTTGCTTTTGTTCCGTACTAGATTATCCCTAAATATTTCCTCTAAACTTTGTTTTTCTGGTAGTATGCCAATCCATTACATCTTCTGATTCTGTGCAACATTTTACTTTTCCTTTTTATGTACACATAATCAAAGCAGTCAAAATCGGGATTTTACGTAAAATCGAAAATGGGAGTAAAATCGGAATCGTAAAATCGTAGGATTTTAAGGTCCATTTAAAAATCAAGACGGAATAATATTAGTAAGGAAAATCATGAATAACACAAAAGCACATAACATTTACAATGATAATTTTTCAAGGTTAATGTTCCAATTTATCAAGATTAATGTTAAGAGGTAGTGAATCGATGAGATTAATACGTTGATGTGAATTGATTATAGTCCATGGTGGTTAGTGTGAGAGAACTAGATGATGTTGGTGGAGGAGAAGAAAAAAAGGCGTAATTTTGCAAATTCTAGGGAAAATAAGTAAAATTGACTCAAAGATTTGAATCGTAAAATCATAAGATTTTAAAGATTTTAAGGATTTAAATCGTGAATAGTGTAGGATTTTAAGGTCCATAGATTTTATAGTGAAATCAGAATCGGAATAGGTAAGTAAGATCGTAAAAGCGTAGGATTTTAGGATTTAAATCGGGATTTTAACTACTCTGCACATAATATCTCCTTTACAATCTTTAGACTAGAGAGAAACTAGACAAACGTGATCCTGTCTTTAGCAACTACTTTAGCAACTACTTCCTCCCTCTATGTTTTTCTTTGGTTTAATACACTTGTATATCCAAAACTTTCACGGTTGTGCCAATAATATCCAAATTTCCCGGAATACCACTTATATCCATGTTTTAAAGTTGTTCTTTGCCAAATCTATCCATTTCCCAATATATTTTTGGTTAAATACACTTGTATATCCAAAAACACCGTTAAAGAATGTGAAAGAATTGGATATAAGTGGTATTACGGGAAATTTGGATATTATTAGCACAACCGTGAAAGTTTTGGATATACAAGTGTATTTAACCTTTTTCTTTTAAGAAAGACCTGCACAGGGGTACCTTACTCTTGTCATGGCCTTAAAACCTTTGGACCTGCATTTGAAGCCATCCAGGAGGTGATCACATCCACAAGCTTGGCCAAGTCCCTGGAGGATTGTGCACGCGGGATCTGGTTGTTCGTCCCTAATGTATTGCCTACTTCTTTGGCCACGGTCTCCCATGGCGTTCCAACTGCCAGATTTGTGAACAGCTCGCTTCCTCTGTTAACTGCATCTGCCTATAGGTGTCAAAACATGACCCGACCCGAGTAACCCGCCCAACCAACCCGATCCGCGACCCGCACGCAACCCGATTGGACTAAAAGTCAATGACCCGCAACCCGCCCGACCCGTAACCCGCTTAACCCGCAACCCGCTTGACCCGCAACCCGCTTGACCCGAACCCGATTGACCCGCAACCCGCTTGACCCGCAATCCGCTTGACCCGCAACCCGCTAGACCCGTAACCCGACTAACCCGAACCCGATTAACCCAACCCGAACCCGCCCGATTGGCACGAATAATACTACATAATATATTTTTGTGCATAAATATTATATGTAGATAATATATATATAAAGTTTATGTGACTTACCCTATAGATAAGTAGAAATCCTAGGTGGGTTGTCAACATTTTTTACATTTAGTTGATGTATATAAATAATATATATATATAGATAACACATACATATGAAAAACATGATTGACTTAATTAAGCCAATCATATATCAGTACCTAATAATTACAACATTTTTTCTTCCACACATAATATAACTGGTCACATAACATTGTCAAAATATTAACCTAGCATACGAAGATTCATAATAGTACATAAGTCATAACTCATACCCTAGCCCCAATAATAAGAAGATACATAATAGTTTGCTTACTAAGTTCTACCATATAAAAAATAGTAGGATACAAATACATAGCTGACATTATCACATCTTACATACCAACAAAATAGGTTTACAAATTAAAATGATAATTCACTTGGCGATCAATCAACAAGCTTCACTTCTTCTCCATCTTTAAAATTTATTTTATGTCAACGTATACATAAATTCACTTAATGTATAGCATAGTTAGTAAATATACGGTACGGGAAAGTTACGTATAAAATACTTACGGGTATTATATTTTTATCTTAGTTATAAATATATACTACTAATTACTTTTATATACGGATATTAAACGTGTTATTAAACGGAGTATTCACTCTAACTATGATGTATAAGGTATACGATAGTGTACTTGTGGTTTAGAGTTCGGAAGATTAGGATTTAGGACGTATGTTTTTCTCAATAATTGAATAAAAAATTGACTTAACTAACATTCTTCACATATCATACGTTATAATTTATACTTTATACCAACAATTTCATAACACATAACTATAGTTCATGGTTTAAGGTTAGTGTTTAGGGTATACGGTAGTGAACTCGTGGTTTAGAGTTTGGAGTCATAAGAGTTAAGACGTATGTTCTTCTCAATAACCGAATATAAAATTGACTCGACTTACATTCTTCACATAACATATGTTATAGCTTATACTAACAATTTCATAACATATAACTATAGTAAAGGCCATAGGCTTTAGGGTTAGGGTTAGGGTTTAGGGTTAGGGTCTAGGGTTTATTCATGGTTATGCTTTATGTTGGATATTTTGATTTTTATAGTTTATTAATTAATTTGATTTTAACAATTAGTTTAACTTGTGAATGTACATCTTAAATATATCATATTCAAATGACATTCCGACCAACGAATCGAACAACAAACTAGTTAATCGGTATAAAATTTACCATCTATAATAATAAATATCAAAGAAAGAAAGAACTAGATGTTTATGGAAATTTTTTGAATGCAAAATTCAAAACCCCAAAATATTTGCTCAAAAATTCCCTCCCATAAACCCCCTTCCCCCAATAGTTGATCAATAATTGAAAATTCCCTCCCACCCCCCATTATTTGATCCAAAATTCAAATTCCCCCCATCCCCACCTAATTTTTCGTGAAAACAAATATTATTAACAATATATTTTTTTTTAATCAATTGAGAAGGGAAAAATCGGTGGTCTTCGGAAAAAATATCTGTCTCCTACTAATAAATTAATAATGAAGGATCGATTAAAAAAAAAAAAAAAAAAACACAAAATCGGTCGTCGCCTTCTCTCCCTATCTCGGCCACTTTCCCTAATTCCCTTATCCTTTCTGCGCCTCTCTCTCAAATCTCAATCAGGAACAAAAAACCCTCCCTTCTCCTTCTCCTTACCCTCCGCCGCCTCGTTGTCGTCGCCGTTGAAATCAAGAAGCAGAGGAAGCGGAAGAAGAACAAGAAGCAGAGGAAGCAGCAGTCGCGGTCGGCGTGGTCGCGGCGGAAGAGGATGGGTTTTCCCCTCGTCATTCTCAGGTACGTGTCTCCCGCTCTCGGCTCTTCATTCTGTAACAAAGCAAAAAGATAAAGAAAAGAACCAGAAGATTTGTTATTTGGCTGGATGGAAAATTCAGCAGCAAGGGTTTGATTTTGTCGTCTGTGTTGGTAAGGCTACTAGAGTTCCAAACTGATAACCCAAACCTACCGTCTTCTCGTTGTCCCTCCAAACAGAACATGGTATTTGCAATTCTTATATACTCGCTATGATGTGCTTGCCGAAAAGTTAGATTTATGAACCAATCAACAACAGTCCTCTTCGTTGGTCATCCAATTTTTATTTAACTTGGTTCATCACAATATGCATTCCTTTGTCCACATTTCCTCCTATCTTCTTCTCATAACTGCTGGTATTGTTTAGGTAAAGTCCTAATCTCTGCGGTTAATTAAGGATGCTGTCTTTTGCTATGATGTTTGCCATGTTTTGTTTTATTGATAAACGAATTTTGATTACTTTTGTTTCATGATCGGCAACAAAACATATCTATCACTCAAGACTTACTAATTTGTGGATCATATTACTTCCGATGTGATGAAGGCTACACTATAGCCTCTATCATGTCCTTTGATCCAAGGTTCTTTTATTTTAGAGGAACATAAACGTTGAGTTGTAAGGATCAATTTAGGTAGGACACCTGCTGCTGCTCTTCTATGGCATATTAATTTAGGTAGGACACCATCTAAGAGATGTCCCTGTATGTTCATTTGTAGAGTTATTGTGGGTTTGATGATTCAGGTTCGAATTGATCATTATTAATTGTTGTATGTGTTTAGGATTGTCCATTTAGCTATTTTCGGAGACGTCCTTTTGTTAATTGGAGTTGGTTAAATCTATCCCTTTTGAGAATTTTGTTAATTGGAGTTGGTTAAATCTATCCCTTTTGAGATATTTCAACACAAAAAGGTATCAATGCTTGATTGCTCCTTCATTCCTTGTTTGTCTTTTTTATTTGAACAGCTCAATCCTGACTTTCCTTTTCTTCCAACATTGGGAAGATTGCGAATGGTTGGATATTGATGAGAATTGGGATGAAGCAAATATTATTGGCAGCTATGTTAATTAGTTTGGGGAAGAAGGGTGGTTTACAAAGAAGGGAAAGAAGAATCAGAAGGATTTACCGATCCAACAATCAATAAATTTAGTAATCGTTTCCTTTTTTTACTATTAGCTAATTTAATTAGCTAGCCAAGACGATTCACTACTAAATCATGATTCACCCCTAGATGAAATTTCAGTAGTCATGTTATTGTGTTTGTTGTTTCTTGTTTGTTTGATCGATTATGTAATTCTTTTCTTTTCGTTTCTTTTTTTCATAAGCAATGGACGCCAGGGCTAGAAGAAGCAAAATTTGGGAGAATTCACTCAAGTTGAATCAGAGGGGGAGGTCAAGCTTCAATGCAACCATTGCATGAAGGTTTTTGGATGCTATCCTAATAAGAATGGGACAGTTTCACTGTGGAGGCATCTTAAGATGTGCAGTAAGAGAAATCTTCAAGATTAATGAAGCCTTATGTACTTTTCTGTATTTCATTCTATTGTATTTGCTTAAACATCATGTAATGGTCTCAACTATTAAGACTCAAGAGATTGTTTCATTGGTTTATGATCAAGCAAGTTGTCAGCTTTTTAATTTCTTATGTTGGTTTTGTAACCTTAATGAATCCTTTGCAACATCAAACTTGTTTATGATATATTGAAGCAAAATCTAGTCACTCATTTGTTTAATAATGTATCTTCATGTTTTTTTTCATTGCAATATAGTGATCGATGAGTTTTTTTTAAATTAGTGTAGTAACTAATTATTAAAAAAACTCGATGGTTTGGGCCGAACAACCCGCAACCCGACCTGTTGTAACCCGCAACCCGATCAACCCGAACCCGATTGATCCGCAACCCGATCAACCCGCAACCCGATCAACCCGAACCCGCTTGACCCGCAACCCGCTTGACCCGCAACCCGATTAACCCGCAACCCGACTGAACCCGACCCGAACCCACCCGAACCCGCCCGATTGACACCTATTGATCTGCCATTGCAGGCGGCACATCAGGTAATCCCTGCATAGGTGGACAATTTGGATCGTAAGAAACAAGCTTTTGGTACTTAAACTTGCCAGCCTGGTTGCAGATTATTCATGGTTCATTAGAAAATGTTTAACCTGCTGCAGAGGGAGACCATGATCTCCCGGTAGTGAGCGAATTGACATGTCCAGCAGTGAGCTAATGGCTGATTCTGAACTCAGAACTTTGGCTAACGACAAGGTCTCATCGATGGAATCGTCGGTGAACTTTATCAGAAGATTTCTAGAGACTCCATAATATGATGTTATCTGGAATTCGGCAACAAGATACCAAATGTTAGCAATTTGCACCAAATGGTGCAGGCGGGAAAAACACACTAGATAGAAAGAGGGGGAGGAGGAGGAGGGGGTGATTGACATACAAGGCGGCAGGTTTCTTCAGGTTTTGGACTGAACTCTTCTCTTCCATTAACCAGGTCCATGTATAAAGGATGAAGTTGCTCAATTAAAGGGAATGCTTGTTTCATGAATGGAGGAGAGATGAGGTTCTCTATCTGCTTCAATGTTATTTCAGCCTGCAACAACCTTATACAGATTAGTATACATGAGAGCGTGGCATAAAGGAAAGTGAAATATGGGGCAGATTAAAAAGGAGAGGCAAGTGAAGAGGATCAACTAGAAACATGTTGCTTATAGCTGTTACCACTAACAAAATAAACAGTCAGTTGACAGAGCTCACATACAGAGACTTCCACAAATTTTCACTAAGCAACTGAAAGGAATTAAGAAACGCATTAAGAAAGAATAGCTCGCACATGTCAACATTACAGAAGCATGCCACGATCATAATAAAAAAAAAGATCAAATGAAATACAGCCAGAAAGGTATTCCTAGAGCATAAATTGCACGTCTGTCTCACTAAAGCCAGGGTGTTTGGATTCAGCTCTTAGAATCCTAATACAGCAAGATGCAAGAAAGCACGATGTGAAAGAGGCATTAATGATTCATAAACTATTGTTTCTGGATCTCACCCCATGCGGACTGTCAGTGATGAGGATATCTGTGATAGAATTGGGCCCATGTTTTGAGCCATTGGTACAAGAACAGGTGAGAAAAGAGGGATAGCTAGGCTTGCTTCCTGAGGAACAAAAAACGAAGAAGTATCAAGTCCTTAATTCAGAAAAAGATGTTGGTCTCCTACATATTTGTGTACTTCATTTATTGTATAGAAATTTAAGATTAAGGAAACATCAGAAAGCTTTACTGGACCATCAAATAAAGAGGAGGGTATTCTAATTCCTATGATGACTGACAACTGCATTCTACATTTTCATTTTTCAAGGAAAGACCTACCTTGTTGTTGAACGCCATCGGTACATTCCCACTTCTTTGCACAGCATAACGTGATCCTAAACAGCAAGTTCACTTCTTGTCAAATAACTGTGAGAAACACAATCTTGAAAGAAAGATAATACAACAATGAACTAGCATATACCAATCAGAAGGTGAATGACAGACCCCAAAGAGTGACCCATACCAAAGGTAGGAAGATCTTGCACCTGTACGAAGACTCTGGTCATACTATTCAGTTTATATTCTAATCAATAGACATTAAATAACAAAATGAGAACACGGATAAGGAGTAAATCATCCTCCAATAGACAAAAATAAGTGAAACCTACAGATTCATAAGAAGTGGAAAGCTCTATCGAATTTAAATTGAGCTTCATCTGCAGTGTGGAAATAGTCAAACCCACTGGCATAAGGTGTTGCGATCACCATTACACCCCTAGATCAACAGGAAAAAATGGCAACTATCAGCATCGTTTTAGTTACTATTAGTCAACAATAGTTGGAACGGACTAAGTGAAACTTGAAGTAGTTAGTTGATGCTCTGCTGTCAGTACGTGTTACTACAATTTCATCGCCAATGCAGCTCTTTCATTACCAAAAAAATAAGAGATTTCAACTTTCTTTTCTGCAAGGTGCTCGAGAAACAATCTGTAGGCTAATTGTGGTGCTGCTCCAACAAATATGCCACCAATGAAATGGACCACAGAGTTAGCTCTTCCATTTCTTGTCTGGAGAACCCATGCCCCCTGAGAATGCACCATTAAGAAAAACTAAATATTAAAATATGGACTCAAGGGCCAAAACAACTTACAACTAGATGAAAGAGCTCCAGTAGTTGTTCACCCAAGTTCCAAACATAGCAAATGGCAGACTCGGTCCCTATTCTGCTCTATTGTATTGTCTCAGTCTATTGTTCGAATGATGGTCGAGCCCACCCTAACCTCTTTTGGTTAGTAGAAATAGGAGCTAGTACCCGCTGGAACATGGTAAGTTACCACTACAGAGAATCAGAGACATATGACGACCAGCAGAAATGACATAACACGACCTTAAGGTCAAAATGACCAGATAAGCAACATAATGAAAAGAAACCAGCTTCAGAATACCATTATGATCCTGCAAGATGAAAATTGTAAGAGACAGGCAGGCAGGTAGGCATAACCGCATAAGATTCAGTTACAACCCTCCATGTTACCGAGAGCTATTGGGATGCATGACAAACTTATACATGAGTTTTTGACGATATACTATCTCGTGTTTCAATTTTCTTATCCATGGTATTAACACTTGGGGGGTAAAGTTGCAGATTTTGAGCAAGTCTAATGAACAATGGTTATCCTTTCTGGGGTATCAAGGTATCAGTAATCCAGTAACAATCCAATTCAATCATTAAAAGTGAAAGAGGGATGGAAGAAAGAAGACCTCAATCTCAGTCCAGTCGGTCAAAGAGCCCCAACCACCTTGCGACTGCCTCACAGTCTCAGTAAGTATCCTGTCGTGTACAGAGAAAGACCAAAACAGGAGATATCACCCATGGGTTCAGACCAAAATATTGATTGTTACAGAGAAGAAACCAAGGTCCTACCTCTTAATTTCACCATAGAGTTGAATTCCAGTTGGAGAAGAGGATTGTCGAGCTGGTTTCCTGCCGGTGTCATCATACTGGCAACAAATTCTAGTGGTGGTGGTTGTTGTACGACGGATGAGAGCCGCCGAGCGGAGGCGCCGGGAATCTTGGAGATCAAGATGAGGAGAAGAAGGGAGAAGAGGGTAATCGGAAGAGGACCCAACGAAGCTACGGTGAGACTGAATCGGTAGCTGATGGCTCCTTAAGCAGCAACTACCCATATTTCTTCTGGGGGAGAAGGTTGTGAATTTTGGGCTGGTTGAGGATGAAACTGAACAAGAAGACATCGGAATCCTGCAGGAATGAAAAGAGTAGCTGTTGAGAGGTTGTGAATTTTGGGGTAAACTGGCAGCTACTGGGAAACGGGAGGAAATGTTGGGCAGTAAGAAAGAAGCCAATGGGAACGAAGAAAAAAAAAAGATGGGGAAGTATAGAATGAAAAAGAATCGAGCTCAGACGCGCTCACGTTTCGTCCGAAGATCAGACGTTAGCGAGAGGACCACTCTCACAGAGAGCGCAGAGTTCATCATAACTCGAGATGGTATGCACCAGCCGGGAATCGAACCCGGGTCTGTACCGTGGCAGGGTACTATTCTACCACTAGACCACTGGTGCTGTTGTTGTTCTCATTGAGATTTGATACTACCAATACAGTCATACGGTATAAGCATATTTTACACTTTGCCATAATGCCATTAGTAAAAGTTTAGTCGATTGTTTGCTTGTTGGATTTGAAATGTGAGTGGATTGTAATGCATTGTCCGTGGACATTGAGAATGAAATTGCTACATTCCACAATTTCATTCGTGACAAGTATCGGTTGAAGTTCCCCGAGCAGGAGTCGCTTGTCCACCTGCCATCCGACTGATTATGTTCCCGTTGTGAAGAGAATCGGCAACGAGACGGATTTGACACTTGTTGATTTACAAGGCCTTCTGTCGTCGGCTGTCATTATGGTTGCTTCAATGACGGCATCAACTACAATTGGTCGACCTCTACCTGAGGATGTGCTCTGAAAGACGGTTGATCGAGCTCTCGCTCTGGATTATGCAAGAGAAAGGTTCTTGATTTCGTGGGGAATAGAATGGGGTACATCGCGCCGAATCTTTCTGCTGTTGTTGGGAGTGCAGTGGCACAGCAAAGCTCATGGGCACCGCTGGTGACCTCTCTTTGCTAGCCAACATGACTGCTTGCAATGTTCAACGTCTTGGCGCCAAGAAGAAAACCCTGCTAGTATTCCTACTGCAACATCTCAGCTCCGTGTGGGCTATATTGATCAAACTGAGATATTTTAAAGAGTTCTGTGGGTTATGGGCTAGGGGAAGGTTATGGAATGCTTGGTCAGGCTGGAAGAAAGGCTCGAGTAGCAGCTCAGCAAAGCAAACCTGCTGCTAAGAAATGCAGGGACAGGCAGTTTGGGAGCAGTGGCACTACTTCTGGTCTGACGTCGAGCCTGGCATTCGCACTAGTGCAGGGGATCGAGCTGAGCAATCCACAAGCTTACGCATATCAACTGCGCAGTGGAGTCCAAAGTACCTACTTGATGATAGCTGGAAAATCAGCTTTAGTTTTGCTTATCAAATATCTCACCTCTTACAACTCTTACCGAATAACATTTTCATTCTACTATCTAAGCTTCTCTTATGTCTCTCCTTTCAAAAATGAAACTATCATCGTCTAAGGGTAAGGCAGAAGTATGCAAGCAATAATAACAGAGGGAAGCAGACACCTAAAGTGCCATCAGCACTGATACTATGATACAGAGGATGCAAAGCAACAGGCCTTTTGTACAGACTCCTTTCGGCAAAGCTACCTTAGCAGCCACTTCTTTCGGATTCCACCATCCAATGCTAGGAGAACTCTTTGCTATCTTGTTGTCCTCTTCAAACAAATCACAAGCATACCGCAACAGTTCATCATCTATGTATGGTATGACATGGAGTGCAGGAACAGCATCTGCCAGTTCAACGTCATTCCAGCCTCTCGCCTCTATCTGCTTCTTAACCGCACGCTTGGGCTGTGGTGATGTACAACTGTTGTGCTTCCTTGGTCGACGACCAAGTTCGCCAACGCCATAAATCGATTGACATTCTACTCCGGAACATAAACGAAGAGATATGGGATTAGAGAGACCACACAAACGGAAAGAGGATTCCAGAATACACACAAACATCTCCTCTGTAACTTGATTGTTCTTTCGAATGCGAGCAAACACAGTAAGTAACTAGTAATTACCAGTAGTAGTTGTTGGTGCCCGAGTTGATTCGATGCTCTGTACCAACCACTCGCAGCTTCCATCATACACATGATGATCTCGCAGTTCCTCGTAACTTGGAATTGGGCTAGGCCAGTAAGCAAACCTCGGTTGGAACACGTTCCAATCCGTAGAACGTATTCGATCAGCAAAGAACTTAAGCTCCCTCGTCCTCAAATTCAAGGAGTAGACAAGGCATGGTTTCTGGCTAGAAGAAAACTCTAGGAAGACAATGTCAGGGTTACTCGGATGCATAGCAAGTACACCATCCACATTTAAATCCCGGAATTCGTCATGGTTAGACATATTCAAACCCACTGCGTGCGCTCTGCTCCATGTTCCGCCATCGTCTTCTTCCTCCCATCTCCAGACACTCAAGATATCCCCTGAACAACGACAAGGTACAAGATAAACAAAATGCAAAGCATCTTGTGAGGCGCAAACTTGAGGAAAGCGAAGCGGCTTCCTTTCGTAGGCTGTAACAACAGCATCAATAGACATTGGAGGTGTATCTGGGCAGAAAGGATCCCACCCAGCAATTTTCGAGCCATCAAAACACCAATACAACTTGCCATTGCACCACGGCATCGCCCTTCCTGACCATGGGAAATCATCCAGAGCCAGAGCCAGTGCTTCTTTCCTCCACTCCCCGGACTCGGAGCAGAACAAGTCTAGTTTCAGAGAGCCAAACCATCCGGCAATTCGCACGACACGGAATCGATCACTAGCGACTCGGCCTTCGCCATCAGAATCACAAACTAAACTCGCAATCGACAAATGTTGATGCTCAGTTGACCTGTCAGGCGCTAGAGGAAGGGCGATCCATTGCTGGGTAAACGGATTGCAGAAGAAGAACAACCTCCTCAGCTCATGGGGCTTGTCGATCTCATCCTCTTCCGAAACCAACACCTCAAACCCGCATAAAACCAAATCGTCGAAGGAACTCAAAACAAAGAAATTCCCTCGTAGTGCATCAGGCACAGGGAGAAAGCACAGTATGGATGATTGCGTTTGCGCGTCATGAGACGACAGCAGAAGAGCTGTTTCGCCGCCGTCGCCGCTGTACCGGTCCTGTTGATGGTGATGAGAAAGGAAGCGGAGACGGAAGTGGGGATCTGAGATGAGTGAGCTCCACCGCTTGCAGACGGATTTGCATCGGAAGGCGGATCTAGCATCCGGAAGGCGGACCAGAATTTCCACTAGCAGATCGTCTTGGAGTTTGCTCATGGTTAGAGGAGGGTTCTTTGAACAAGATTCGTGGTTTTCTGGTGGCGCAAGGAGAAGACGTCCGTCGGCGGCGGAGCTCAGTACGTCTGCCTTTTTCACAACCGGATTCGAGCCAACTCCAGCTATTTGGCTATTTGCCTGTTTGACTCTGTGGCCCAATGTTAAACTTTTCCACCCGTTGAATGGCCCAATGTTAAATTGGCTTTGGGATTCATGGGCTTATGTTTGAAATAGATATTCTAGTGTGGTATATAGGCACAATTCTCCTTCCTAAAATATACGAAATGGTTAAAGGTCGTCCTAAAAATTACTAACCATCGTCCTAACTTAATATGTAATTTATCGAATTGCCCATTTTGAATTTCAAAAATCAAACAACCCCTCCCCTTCCATAAATCTAAAAATAAAAAATAAACCAAAATCCAACAAATTATCTTATGGACCGAACCATAAATCGTAGTAAAAGAATAGAAAATTATTAATATAAACCAAACAAATAAAAAAAAAACCCAAAACCCCTCAACCGAAGCCAATTTTCGGTTGTACCGTGGCTCAACCTAAGGCAATTTTCGGTTGTACCATGGACCAACCGAAAAATCACCTTCGGTTGCACCATGGCTCAACCGAAAACTCTCTGCGGTTGAGCCATGCTGCAAACGAAGGTGATTTTCGGTTGGTCCATGGTACAACCGAAAATTGCCTTAGGTTGAGCCATGGTGCAACCGAAAATTGGCTTCAGTTGAAGGGTTTTGGGTTTTTTTGAAAAAAAAAATTCAGATTTTTACCTCGTCGGAGTTGCTACTCTTGATTCGGACGTATTCCCAACGATTACGACTCGAGAATGTCAACGATGAATTCGAGAGTGTGGGAAATTGAGTGTTTTTCATATTTTTTTATAGTCAAAGTGATGTTTGTTTGCTAAAGATGCCAAAGGGTTAAAAGTGTAACTTTGTTATTTTTTAGGACGTTCAATAGTAATTTTAAGGACTACCTTTATCAATTCCCAAAATAGGCACAATTCTCATAAAATTTGGGTTTCAACTTTCAAATGCTACAGGTTACCCGTAAAAAAATAAATAAATTCAAATGTTATATATGATTAAAAAAAGGCAATTTGAGTGCGTTATTCTCTATTTTTCATATAAATTCAAAATTATCCATACCATTTTTCTTCCCTACTTTGGTAAGGGCTTTCTTTGATCTTATCTCGCCGAATTCATTTCTACCTTCTTCTTCGTGTTTGTTGTCATTGGATATTCTATGGCTTCACGTGAGTTTAATATGCTCCTTTATATTCATTTAAGAATTGTTAGTCGGTGAACCATCCGCGTTAATAACCGTGGTACGACGACCCACATAATTGGGGAGAAGCTAGGGTGCTAACCTCATAGGGGTTAGCACCGTGCTAATCTTAATCATCACCGTCCAACTCTAATTATAATCTAATGGCTACGAAAACACTAAGGATAAATTAGGGATAGTATGTATTAAGTATTAACTATTAATTTCTGTTTTTTTATTTATTAAATCCGTTTGTGTTAGTGGGCGGATTTTAAGGGATTGGGGCAGTTAAGATTTCCAATTTTAATGCTAATTTTTAGAAAGGAAAAATTAGAATATGTTCCCGGTCCCTCTCTCTCCTCCGCACTGTATTTCTCTCTCTTACTTTATCTTTGGGGTCATTTGGATCCAGGTTTTTAATTTGTGGGATTTTGGCTCAAATCACTGGTTTAAAAACCCAGATTTTTAATTTGTGGGATTTGTGTGGGATTCTGAAATCTCTAATATTTAAAATCTCTTATCATATAATTGCTTTCCAAACGAGTAATTTTAATAAAATCCCACATTATGTAGGATTGTGCCCAAATCCCACACCCAAAACCTGCATCCAAATGACCCCTTTGACTTATATGGCTACTACCAAAGGATTTTGTAGTTAGAGTGTTTTGTTAGAATAGTATTTAACGTCTCAGTAAAAAAAAAAGTATTTAACGTCATTGACGCCCTAGAATTTTAAAAAAATCGCCCTAAAACCTATTAAAAATACACTTTTACCCTTCTCCTTCAATCGATCAATTCTTCCCCACTTTCCTCTGCAATTCAACCTTTGCCGCTACTATTGGATTCTGCCAACCTTGAGGAGGAAGAAGGATGAAGACGATGAAGAAATCTCATCGCCCAATCGTCCTCAGAAGAAGGAAGAAGATAAGTGTTGCTGTCCTGTCAGATTCTGGGTTCCTTCGTCGGAGGGGTTGAAAATCCGTCTTCGGCGAGGTTGGGACGGGGCAACGACCTGTCTCGCCATCGCCGGCGACGGGATTACAACCCGTCCGGCGAGCAGTACACATGGGCATAGCACGCGTTCCTTCCACCCCTCGCACCCGTACTAGTCTCATTTCAAACGGGATATTCAACCCGTCTATGTCGTTAGCCCAGAAAATATGGTAGGCGGCATCCAGCGAGAGCGAGCTCCCTCTCTACATCTCCTTCTGCTTCCTTTTCCCCTTTCTTTTTTTTAACTTTGTTTCATGAAAGGATTTGATGGAGACGAACACAAAGAGAAATGGAAATGAATTGGTTGATTGGTCGGGTTGATTGGTCGGGTTGATTGTGGATTGGTTGATTGCCGGCGGCGGCTATGGAGTTTGGGGAAAGGGATGGTGGTTGCCGGTGGTGGTGGTGGATTCTTCTGCTCCGCGTATGGAGTTCGAGGATGCGGAATGGGAGGGCGGGGGCAAGGGGCAAAAGGGTATTTTTTATTAGGGTTTAGGACGACAAATTTAAAAAGTTAGGGCGTTAAATAGGAATTCAGATCTTTTAACGTAGTAATAGTGTTTTCAAGATAGCAGCGTATCATCAAAGAATCATAGGTCAACCAATAATAGTGTTTCTTCACAAATGTAGCCGTTTTCACCAAGAAATTGATTTGCTGCTTTGTACATATAAACCAGTAAAAATTGATTTATTACTACTACTATAAAGGAAACCTATTATTCTGCTACACACTCTGAAAACACTACCAAAAAACTGGCAACCACTACTAGAAATAGATAAATCGCTCCTACTAAAAAATCAATGCTACATCCCAAGAACTTTCTCATCTCTTAAATACTACCATAGGAATAGAAAAACACTACACAGAGCACCTGTGCAGTGTTGTCTCTAAGGAAGAAATAAAGGCTGCTTTATTTGAAATGGGG